CTTAGGTTCCCATAACACAGCTGTGAACCTAATTGTACTAGTCGCGAACAGGCCTTTAATTTTTTGCTGAGAATAATAAGACCGACATTTACTCCGGCTAGTTCGCAGATGGTAAAGAAGAGGCTTCAAACTTGGCGAAACCGCGTAGTCTGATGTTCTCACGTTCGCTCAGCCGAGACTAGATAATCAACTTTTTGGGATCAGAGTAAACTTCACACGTTCTCAGGCTATGGATCATCGTAGTGGGGTTCCTCGTGGTTCAGTACTAGGATGTCTTCTTTCCTTAATTTACATAAATGGCCTTCCTCTGCAAGCTGTTATTGCTTTCCACTGACGATGTTAAACTTTGGGGAGAATTTTGCAACTGAGATGATAAGGTGGTTATTCGAGAGGATCTGAATCGACTTCAAAGTTATGCGAATAACAAGAGACCTATTGCCAACACTTCAAAATGTAAAGTAGTTCGTCTGAGACATGATGCAGAATATGTGTACAAATTACGCATATACATTCGATATATCTAGAGTTGAAAATGATCTGGAAGTGTTGGTATCCTATAATCTAATGTCTTGCACTAGCCGCATTAAAATTTCCTTTCGAGCAAATCTCATACTTGTAACATTGAAGTAAATGTTTGGCTAGTTTGACCGTCGAGCTATGTGCTTAACCGTCGACTGTTTTATTCGGCTTACTTAGAATGTGAAAAAATGATGTTTCCTCCCTCACTCCAAAACGATAACGATACAATCGAACCTATTCAACGTTAAGCCACAAAGTCGGTTCGGGAATCAAATACAAGTTTTATGTAGAGGGTCTCAAATCATCCGTTAGAGACTGGTCATTAATGCAATTTGTGGACAGGAATTCAAACCTTATGTGTGATACTTAGAATTACTGGATCGCTGACTTTTAGGATATGAGGGATTCAGAGGCAACTATTTGATACAGAACGTCAAACACTATTGGGTATCTTCTAGTAAATACTTTGAAATAAGGGGTACAGCAAACTAAACTGAACTCTAGATATGTCTACTACTTATGAAGACTTGAAATTCGTTACTGACTCGAACGGTCCCTGCAACCTTCCAGGAGTACTTCCAAATGGATATATTTTAATGAGTCAGAAAAGTTCTATTCACTGGTTAGCTAACTGTTGGTTTCCATAAAGGTTATAACAGACTTTCGGTGTCTCAACTGTGATACTGATGAGGAAGACGGGTTCATGGTTCATTAAATATCATTTTCATCCTATATTATGGTTCGAAGTGACAATCACATTCTTCCAGTCCACAGGTAACTCATGGTAGTTAATTCACATCTTAAATGTTGTAGTGAAGTGGGAATAACATTTATCGTAAATTGTTCTCCTGATTTTTTCGAGTTCAAAAAGTTTAATATTATTTGGCTTGAGTTAACAGCAAGTACTCGGTACAGCGGCACTGTTTGTGAAGGTAAACCTGTGTTGAGAGGGGACTCACAAGTAAAGGCCACTCATAAATCGTCCGTCGTAGCTCCTTTTTTCCTGGTCCCTCGTCATTTGAGATTCACTCTGGCAATTAGACTCTAAGTCTATGGGTACGTCCTTGTTTTGTTAATGATGAGTGAAAAAGTCACTTTGACTGTCCAAATACAGGTTACGGAAATTGAGTCTCATATCCACAGAATCGTGGTCTAGTTCGTTATTAGTACTGCTTTAATAATAAACTTAATTCTAATATTATATATTTGTCATGATGTGACTACCTAATCTATGAGACCAGTATCTATTGTGACTTGTCGTATTTTAAGTATAATCGATATAACGTCTATTATTTCTGAAGAACATATTTGGGCTAAAGACAGAATAATATATTTAATGTGGATAAAGACAAATTATACTCAGTGACCACGTCTGCGAGATTGGGCCATGACATCCGATTGAATGTTCTCGCGTTCACCATAGCTGAATTTCCCTTAATGTTACATGCTGAAAGCATTGTGTGTTCAACTTCGAGGACCGTGTGGTTAGAATCTAATACTACCACACATTCATGGCCAGAGGATCATGGTGGAAGTAGAAGTTACCTTCGAAGGGCATTTTGGCTCCATACGTTCTTGAACCGCTTCCCGTCTTATTCTATAGCTTACTTGTGCTAACAACGGCTACTGTCTCCTGATCGAATTCGCATATCAGAACTTAGCGCGACCTAGATCTAGTTCAAACCTTATCAGAGGACTCGTTAAGTTTTTGCAAGAAGACTGCCCTCTCTGAGAGGTCTAGTTTGATGAGTCCTTGGATTTTCCTTCTTAAATATGCTCTTGTTTGCAGATCGATTCAGTGAGAAATTCTTTGGTTTTCCTATTTTATTTCCTGGACTTCATTTAGCCATTCGTCAACGTCATATGTTAAATAGAAGAGATTTGCTCAAGACTTAACAACCTTTCTCATATCATAGTAGAGTTTTGAAACTGTATGAGGTCACTCACACACTTTCTCTGTTATATTCTTTTCCTGTTCCTTCGCAAGCTTAGTAGTCTTTACTGTAGCAATTTGTTAATCAGTATGTATATCGCTCACGATGGTTTGGCGTCAGTATTAGCCACCAGAAAGTTCTGTGGCGGTAAATCAATCCCTGAGACAAATATATCTGTAGGTCCTTGACACTGATGTTGACGTCATAAGTTTTAACTGACACACCTTAGCTGAAAGAGCTTAGCTAAGCATCTACACCAGATCACGAGTGTGTACAAAGTTCTACGCACCTTCTACAACTGCTAGCCAGATTAGATTAAATGCTTCCCGAGATATCGATAGCCTTTCAAATTTACTTCGGACCTCTTCATTTCTGACTTCTGATTTGACTGGGTTGGGATACTGAGATTATGAAGGTATTACGTGTAGAGGTGTTGTCAAACTTCGAATACCTGTGGCATATTTAGTTCTATGTATTTACCAAATGAGCAAATGCAAAAAACAATTTGAAGGTAGATACCAGTGAAAAGTGAGTACTGTCGTGATAATTTAACCGAAAACCATATCCAATGAAAAGACGGAAGGTTTCGTGTTGCCCGAAAAGTCGGAAATAGTTTACTCAACAAGCCAAAACTGGAGTTTGCCAACTGCTAGGTCCTAACGGGAACCTCACTCTTCGCCTGCTAAGCCGCAAAAGGCACTGTTGGGCAGAGTACAAGCGAACTAACAACAACGGCGCGTATAGGCAATGCAAACATATAAGGAACATATTCACGAAGGCTATAAGAGATGACAGGCTTCAGTGCCAGACAAAGCCTCTGGAAAAATTTGTCTCTAATCCGAAAAGCTTATTCCGTTATCCAGCCTCTCTTCGTCAAGCCAAAGCTGGAGTTTCCCAAATGCTAGGCCCTAACGGCCCGACCAATAACGACGGCGACGCCGCTAACCTTTTGGCTGAACAATACTCTCGAACAATTCGACCGACTCACATCAACTATACTGGGGACGGCTTCATTTGCAACTGCACCGGACTTTCCGTAGTGAACCTGAGCGCTGACTTGGTGTTCCAGAGACTGCAGCATCTAAGAAAAGACATTTATCCTGACCTAGATATGGTCCATTCTGCTATACTGAGGGAAGCAGCCTCAATCCTGGCAACGCCGCTTAACGTGATATTCTCACACTCGCTAAGCCGAGGCAAACTACGGGAAAACTGGAAGTTGGCTCACATTACACCAATTTTCGAAGGAGGTCGACGCAGCTAACCTTCAAGTTACCGACCGGTGGCTCTTCTCTCTATACCTTCGAAAATCATGGAGTCCCTGATATGCGATGGCATAAATGACTATTTACTGTCCTTACATTTCTCCTCACCCCAACAGCATGATTTCAGGAAGGGTTACTCTTGTATAACCAACGTGCTGACTGCGGTGGACAGATGGACAAACATCCTCGATCGCGAGGCGAAGGTTGATATCATTTACCTTGATTTCCCAAAAGCTTTTGATAGGGTTAATCATATATGTCTTATCAATAAGCTCATACGATTGGGTATCAGACCACCTCTAATCGATTGGCTCACTTTATATCTGAAAAATCGACATTTTAAAGTCAGGGTTAACTTCACTTTATCTCAGGTTATGGAATGTCCTAATAGAGTCCCCTAAGGCTCAATACTAGGACCTCTTCTCTTCTTGATTACGTAAATGATCTTCCTCAACAGGTAGCGTCAAACTTATTACTTTTTGCCGACGACGTGAAACTTTGGAGAGAGATACGCAATCAAGACGATATACAGGCACTTCAGGAGGATCTGACTCGACTTCAAATTTGGGCAGATAATAATGGACTTACCTTTAACACTTCAAAGTGTAAAGTAGTCTATCTGCGACATGTCGCAGACTATCGTTACAACTCAGGAACCTCCTCTCTAGTAGTATCCCAAGTCGAAAAAGATTTAGGAGTCCTGGTGCCCTACGATTTAAAGTCTTACGCTGTGACAAAAAACGCCTTCTAAGCAAACCTTGCACTGGTAACATTGAAGCGCATTTTTGGCCAGTTTGACGGGAGAATTTTCCATATAATCTTCATCAGTTTTATCCGTCCCCATACTACTTCCTCCCTCACTCCAAAAGGATAAGGACACTCTGGAGAGTATCCAATCGCGAGCCACGAAGTCAGTTCGAGGACTCAGATTTAAACTTTATGGAGAGTGCCTCTGATCTTTTAACCTTTATTAATTAGAATATAGGCGTCTTAGAGGTGACCTTCTAATGGTTTACAGTACCCTTAACATTTCTGGACATCCTCTTAAACACCTACTTAAGCTTAGTCCCAACACCAACCTAAGGGGTAACACCCAGAAATTGGGGACACAACTCTACCTAGAGTCAGTAGTGATTCTATGGTACTTATTTAAGCGAAAACATCTCTGCCATCCACAGCCATTTGAATTCCCTGAACATGTTGTTACACCGTTCAGACTACTGAGCGGCTTTTCTGTTTAGAACGTTACGCCTTGGTGTCATCGTTGTCTGTACTCTGGAACATGGATTTTCAGTCAAAAATTTCCAAACCTATTGATAGAGTTCAGGTCGAAGGAAAGGTGTTCTTAAAAATGATCAAGCACTATGAAGAAGAATCTGTATCTAGCCAAAATTTTGTCAATGGTGTATTGTTAGGGCTTGCACAAGGCAGCCAACTTGAAATCACGAATTGCTTCCCATTACCTAAGACTCAAGAAGATGACCCAAACGCCAACGAGGCTCTGGTCACTTATGAAGCTAATATGATACGTAATTTGAGACAAGTAAGTCCTGGAAGATCTTGTAATACACTTATAGCTACAAACAGATTACCTCAATGTAGGATTTTATCAAGCTGGTCCTGGAGGCGTCTCTATTAACCGTGCTAACATTGAAAACATTTATCAACGCCAAATTAATCTCCCTGAATCTGTGTTGCTCACTTATGACCCAACAAGAACTAGCAGAGGTCAAATTGGTCTGAAAGCGTATCGTCTGTCTGACGATGTTCTTGCTGCAAGATCCGAAGCGGAAGATCGTTTTCGTCTGATGGGCCACAAGGTTTGTCCGTATTTTCATGTCACTTCATGGTGTTTGGTTCGTCTGACAATTATTGTCTGTGGAACTTGCGTAGTCTAACTAAACTCTTAGTCACATGATGAGACTAGCTCCTTACAAATTGGTCCAAGTTTTATGGTAAACATTTGATTTCACTTATGGTCCTTCTTGCTTTACTCACTTCTATACGCTGGTCCTAGGTATATATAAGCTGATCAATCCAATAATTACCTAGTTAAACCAGTGGAAGATAAATTATCTTTCAGCCTACAATTAGACAGCATTCCAGTCTTCAGTAATAAGGATAGGAGGTCTATTGAATTATATTAATCCTTGCAGTTTGTAATACTGTGGAGGTCCAATCTCGTTGGCAATTCATTTACATAAAGTGAAAAGAGAAGAGGACCGAGAATTGTGCCTTGGGGAACTCCACTTTTTACAGGTCCCCACGAGGAGAAAGCCCCATCAACCCTTACCATTTGTCCCCTGCCATGTGTAAGGTTACTTATCCAATCTACGACTGTATAATGGATTCCAAAACGTTCCAGTTTGAATTTAAGACCAGAGTGGAATACCTTATCGAGGGCCTTACTTAGATCTATGGTGATCACATCCGCAGGAATATTCCGATCTTTTGCAGCAGCCCAATCTTCTCTTGAAATGAGATTTGTCAAGCATGATAGGCCTCTCCGAAAACCATGCTGTTCCCTGGAGAAAAGATTGTGCCCTTCAACATAGTTTATACGAGATATTCGCATGGTTTTTCCATCAGCTTTATAACTGCACTAGGTAAGCTAACGGGTCTGTAGTTACTAACTAAATCCCTAGTCCCAGCATTATACACCTGACTTATTATAGCGTTTTTCCGATCTTTGAGCAGTCTAGACTGCCTCAGTGACATGACAAACAGTAACGCTAGTGGTTCAGCAATTACATCTGATATGGCTTTCATAATCCTAGGATGAGTATCATCAAGACCACTGAACTTATCAGGTTTGAGATGCGGAAGTAGCCTTAAAACAGTACCTTTCTCAATGAATACAGGATCCATCAGCGAGCCGCCACGGTCGCGATGAATCGTTAGTCGTTCCTCATTACCGATAGAAAATACTAAAATATTCCGATAAAGCTTCAGCCTTTTCGGCATCATTTTCTGTCAAGATTAACGAATTTCCTTGTATCAAAAGTGATGAAATTCCATCGCTTCTTTGAGTTCGCCTTTTTATATACGAGAATAACCGTCTCGGACTATATCTAGAATCCCCAACCAATTGTTTTTCGTATGATAGTCTAATCTTACTTATTAACGCTTTACAGGTATTCCTAATCTTACAATAACTGGATCTGTATTGTTCTAGGCCAGTAGAGATGAACATATTCCAGTGTTCCTTCCTTTTCCTAAGAAGTTTCCTGACTGGTTTAGTTATCCATGGTGGACTGTTAGTCGGTCTTCGTGGCACCAGATATAGTACGAACGGAGACGTAACTAGACTAAACTTACCTTTAAATTCAGACCATGCTTCTTCAACTGATAAGCTAGTATCTACAAACCAATCTGTCTTAGCGGCGCATTCTTGAATGGCTGATATGTTAGCTTTCCATACATTTGGGCGAGGTGTAATCTGGTCGTATAACATGTCCCTAGTTCTAAACGCGAATGACAAAACAGCGTGATCGCTATTCACTAACGGTGGAAGAATATTTAGGTCGACAATATCCTCAGTCTCATGAGTGATTACCAAGTCCAACAGAGAAGAACCTTGGTTAAGATCAACACGTGTGGGTTTGGATACATGCTGCACTAATGCATGCTCCATTATTGTTCTCAGGAACCTACTATCAAAGGAGTTTATAGATCCTTCTGTGGTCACCTCAGTCCAACTAATATCAGGTGCGTTGAAATCTCCTATTATCAAGCATATGTTATTTGCACTCCAAAAATGAATGTGCTCTAAAATAAAGTCATCAGCTAAGTAGATTGGGCTGCGATAGATGACACCGAGCATAAATGTACTACATCCGATAGCCAACTTACAGCTAATGACTTCACAAGTACCGCTATCATGGAATTCACTAGCAGAGGAGCAGATATTTATGCTATTGTCTATATATAACAGGACGCCACCTCCTTTCCTACATCTATGCCTATCACTCCTGAGGTAATGGTATCCGGATAATTCAGGAGTAATGTCTAAGTTATGGACTAACCAAGTTTCTGTCACTGCTACAATGAGTGGTTTTAACCTGTCCACTAGTGCTTCTAGTTCATAGAACTTATTTCGTAGACTACGAGCGTTGGCATATAAAACTCCTAAGTAGAACTGTCTATCCACACAGGCCTTGGTAGCATTCGCTTCCAAGACCTGACTATCCGAAGACCCACTAGCCGGAGATTTTCCCTACCGTTTTGCCGACGAGTTTCAAGTTCAGCTAGTGCTTCCTTCCTTTTTATTCTATCTTTGAGAGACATGTCAGGTCTAACTCGGATGTCGGAATTCTCGTGACAACGAGCGCTACTTAACAGGAGATCCCGCTGCTTCTCCGACCGAAGCTGCTACCCTGACGCGGTGGTCGGGCTTGCCTATCGTGATGACCCAACCGAGCTATATTGGCTGGAACATATGTTCCTGTAGGTTCTAGCATGCCAGGCAGGTCGATTGGAGAACGGTAAGACTAAAAGCTGCAACTGAAGGTCTGAGGGCGAAGTCGTACTGCTGACTGTAGAGGGGTGTGACAGCAGTAAGGTGTTTCCCTCGGACAACCAGCATCTTCAGCGATGCTGCCTTCCCACAAGGAGGGGTGGGGTTAGAAAAGGTCGACCCTAAAAATGTCACACCTCACCTTACCTCACGGGTTTCCGTCTCCGGCGGTAAGACCCTTTGAAGAACGGATTTAACACACTAAAAACCTTCCACAAAAAGGCCGTGCGCGACCGGCTTCATGCAGTTGTCCCTCGGGCTCTGTGGTCACCCTCCCAGGTCGTTAAGACCAACACTAAACCGACTTCTTTTTCAGGTTCCTCAAGAAATATCCTTCCACGGTGTGGGCATCCGGGAAGTGATATCAGCCCTCATACCCGTAACAGCACACGAGACCAAGTTGGTCACATTCAAATCCTTCCCACACCTAATACCTCTCTTATCTCCATGACTAACCCTCCTCACGTCTCTTTATCACCTCGCACCGCTAGGGCAAACGATTCGAGTACGCGGAACGCTATGCCTGGTCTCCTGAAACCACGCTCTAAACTACACGTAGGAGCTTTTAACGTTCGAACACTGTGCCAAATAGGACAGCAGGCTTCCTTAGCTAAGACTTTAGAATCCCACGCCATTGATGTGTGCTGTATCGCCGAAACGCGCATACAGGATCCGAGTAGCGTCATTCACTTGGCCTCACCATGCCAAAATACAGAACCAACTCGATTCACACTTCGTGTATCTGGAAGCCCAGATTCTGCTTCCTGTGACCTCGTCGGCGTAAGTATAGCATTGAGTCATAGGGCAGAACTAGCTCTCTTAGAGTGGATCCCAGTAGACAGTCGTTTGTGCGCTGTCCGACTAAACGGAACAATAAGGACTCGGAAAGATAGGGACACTCGTCGTTGCCTCTTCGTCATCTCTGCCTATTCTCCCACTGACTGCAGCTCAGATGATGTAAAAGATGAGTTTTACAGAAAGCTTTCCGACCTTCTTCGAAAAGCTAGGCGCTCGGATGTAGTAATAATGGCCGGTAACTTTAATGCTCAAGTAGGTAAACTAAGCGATAGGGAAAGACACCTGGGTGGATCTTATAGCATCGTGGCTCAAAGAACAGATAATGGCGACCGTCTATTGCAGCTATGCTCAGATAACCGCCTGTTCCTTGCAAGTACTAACTTTAAGCATAAGGAAAAACACCTTTTAACATGGCGACCCCCTAATTCGTCCCAACGTTGAACCCAAATAGATCACATCGCTATCAGCCACCGATGGAGGGGCTCGATAGAAGACTGTCGCTCATTCTGGAGCACATGCTTAGATTCAGATCATGCTCTAGTACGAGCGCGTATCTGTCTGCGTCTTACTGGACGTAGGAAAGACGCTGCAAGGAAACCTCTTAGGGGCCTACTTAATGATAGTCAAGTTAAGAGTATATTTCAGGAACAACTAGGAAAACAGTTAGGCAGCCATGTATGTGATGCCCACCCCGATGCAGCATGGAATGATATCCGAAAAGCTGTGGAAACAGCAGTGATATCTGTTAGTACGGTAAACCACAAGGTTAGGGAGAAACACTGGATCTCAGCAGCATCTACCGCACTAATAGATGCTCGGAAACTCATTCCACCTGGCTCTGAACATAGTAAAGAGCGGAGTCGGCTTAAGCGCAAGCTGACAAGTCTACGCAATGATCGCGAACAGTGGTGGGTAGCGAAAGCAAGAGAGATGGAAAAGGCAGCGGCAATAGGTAATAGCAGACAATTGTTCAGACTCGTTAAGGAAACCGGAATTAGGAACCCGACCGTTAGCGAAACAATCTCAGAGAAAGATGGACATATTATTCATTCTCAATCCAGGAGATTGGATCGATGGGCAGAACGCTTTAGGAATCAGTTCAACTGGCCTTCAGCCACACTTCAATTTCCCACGATCTCTAGTCAACCTGAATGGCAAGTTAATGTAAGTCCTCCGTCCCTTTACGAAGTTGAAAAAGCCATAGGAAATCTGAAACGAGGGAGAGCAGCAGGCCCTGACAGGTTCACTCCTGAGATTTTTAAGGATGGTGGTCCAGTATTAGCAATGAGATTAACCGAGGTCTTAGGTAGAATTTGGGAACTGGACGTAATCCCATCTGACTGGTCTCAATCACTGATTGTGCCAGTCTATAAGAAAGGACAAAAGTCCTCTTGTGACAATCACAGAGGAATCAGTTTGACAAATATAGTATCTAAAATATTAGCCTCAATAATACTTCGACGCCTAACTAAAGCTCGTGAAGAGCAGACTAGAGAAAATCAGGCTGGTTTTCGACCTGGACGTGGTTGTATGGATCAGATATTCACACTACGTCAGGTTCTAGAACACAGACATACGTTCAGACGCCTCACAATGGTAGTATTTCTCGACCTTAAAGCAGCATTCGACTCTGTCGACCGTGTGGTTCTATGGCAGTGTTTGTCATCACTGAAAGGAGTACCAAATAAGTACATTAACCTTGTAAAGGCTCCCTACTCGAACACAACTGTTAGAGTGAGAGCTTATGGCGAACTGTCATCAGAATTGATTACCTCAAGTGGTGTTCGTCAGGGCTGTCAACTCTCTCCATTCTTGTTCAACTTTGTCATTGACGTACTTTTAGAGATAACACTTTCCTCATCTAGATTTCCAGGGGTTGAACTTCTACCGGGAGGTTCACTTGTTGACTTAGAATATGCTGATGACATAATTTTATTTGGTGAAAACGCTGAAAAAATGCTGAGTCTTCTGACCACTCTAAGCAACAATGCAAGCATGTTCGGGATGCGATTCTCCCCCTCGAAATGCGAAGTGTTGCTTCAGGATTGGGTTGCATCGACACCCGAACTAATGATAGGGAGTGAAGTAATTGAGCGTGTCGATCGCTTCACTTATCTTGGAAGTCTGATCAGTCGTTGTGGTCTGGTGTGTGACGAAATCTCAGCACGGATACAGAAGGCTCGACTAGCTTTTACCAACTTGCGTCATTTATGGCGTAGGCGGGATATCCGTCTATCAACCAAAGGACGTGTTTACTGCGCAGCAGTTCGTCCCGTCCTACTTTATGGCAGTGAAACATGGCCGGTAAGAGTAGAGGATATTCGTAGGTTACTAGTATTCGATCATAGGTGTCTTCGAAACATTGCTCGTATATCCTGGGACTATCGAGTAAGTAATGCAGTTGTCAGGAAACGGGTACTAGGTAAGGATGGAAAATCAATTGATGAAGTAGTGAAACTTCATCAGTTGAGATGGCTCGGTCACGTTTTACGTATGCCCAACGACCGACTACCTCAACGTGCTATGTTCAGTGGTATAGGAGTAGGTTGGAAGAAAGCTAGGGGCGGCCAGACCAAAACATGGCACAAATCCATGAAGTCACTGACAAGTGGACTGAGTCATGTTGGTAGGTGTAGACTACCTGGTTGGGGACCACGAGATGATAGCAACCGATGGTTAGAGACCCTGGATGACATGGCTCAAAATCGTTTGCAATGGCGCAGGTGCATCCAATCTTTGTGTTCTCCCAAATTCTAATCTTCTGAATTCTTCATGCCCCTTTTTTCCTCTTTCCAAATTTGTTTCACTGGATTTTTTATTTTATTTTATTTGAACACATATATATTGGTACAGGAGTGCGCCAAACATATATGCGCCACACAATTTCAGTTCATTAATTGCGTGTGGGCTGCGTTACTGCCCGGGTGCCCAGACCGAAGCAGGTGGTTCTCTTAGGGGGCCACACCCCGAGCCTTTGACCTAAAGGTCTAACTCACAAGGCAGTGGAGCATCGTAAGGAGATGCAGTCCCATGGTAGCCGGTGACCGAAAATTGGTTCATACGCCATTTGTTCCCGCAGGATACTGGTGCCCATGTGCACCATTGGTTTGGAATCCGGTTAAAGCGCCGGACATTCGCTTTTCGTCCTCTCATTTTCGTAAACAACAGTAGTGCCACGAGAAGGCAGTGAGTAGGACTTCCCTGGCAGAGGCTGTATACGCGCGGCCGTGTGAGAGTATTTCGAGAGGAAGGGCGAACCCACCCCGCTCTCGTCCATACCAGGGCGTTTGGGGGCTTCACTGGATTATACTCTTTAAATAACATCTCCAAACCCTAATCTTCCCGATTACTGCTTGTACTCTTGCTACCTCTACCACTACGGGATTTGAATCGACCACTACATCTGTGTGCTAATGTGGTGTGGCAACTCGAACTGATGTACGTACGTACGAAGTTCTACGTTGTTACTGACTGACTGACCGATCCTAGGATTACCTTAAGGAGTCTGCATGGTCGGGGTTCAACACTGTCCTCAGTGCTCTTGCCTATTCTAACCAATTTTTTGACCTGAACTCCTTTAGAGTTATCTGGTAAAATACTACGAATATATTCTCCTAGCTTTTCTAAATCATGCGCGTGTCTAATTTTCGGATCAGGGTCGTTTGACTCCCGCAATTTGCTCACAATAATATTAGATGCTATTTGATTTTTCTTCTCAGTCACACCAGGATGGGTTTCACTCTTACTACCAGATTTTGGTAGTGCAGTTTGTGACCCACAATGGGAGTCCACCAGTGAGTTACTAACTGCCTACATCTTTTTTCTCTTCCTTTCGTCTCCTAGGTACCGTAGTCCATTTTTCACCCCTCAAGACACTGGCACTATTTCGAACGGTGACGGTTTTATCCAGTTCGTCGGTTCCCACTAAAGGTGCATTGTTACCAAAGTCAGTACCAGGTGGTACCACTCCCCCTGTTAATGTTAACGGAGATTTCTCTTTTACATCGGTCAGAGTTGGTTGTTTGAGGCGTCGCGTAATAGCAGGTACTATACTGACACATTCGTCACTGTCAGTGCCCGTGTTGTCGGCGCATGTGCTGTCGGTCTTCTTACAGACCAAAGCCAATAGGCTCATAGCCTTCTGTATTAGTAACGTCTTATTTGCATAGCAAAACATGCAGAGCCAATGTGAGTTAGGCTTCGAACATCCTTTGTATGCGGTGGGACTTAAACGAGTGCACATCTTATAGAGCCACTTATTGCATTCATCACATTGCATTCCCTCCTCCCCAGGGAACAAACAGTTTGGTTGTCCACATTTGTGAGTACTACCAACCATTTTAGTCAGATCAAGGTGTAAAACACAATATGATTACAGTATGAACACAAGTGTCAGTCAATGAATAAAAGATTACCACAAGACAAACTCTAGCAAGATTTTAAGCCTTAACTAAAGTACTTTGATACAGACCAAGAATGCTTCCGATGTAATAAATACACAAAAGCAAAAAAAACAGTCAATACAATGTCACCTTAACTGGAATAGATTCAATTAAAGTGTAAATCGTGGTTTTGATGCGTAATTTACGATCAAAACAGTTAACTAACCCAACAAAAAACAATACCACTGTCCTTTTAGATAGTGCGCGTCAAGAACGTCTTATTGTAAGGAAATGATGGAGTTACAATGAGCAGTCTTAAGCCTAGTAAAAAGACAATGCATGAATCTTTAAGTTTTCATCGTGAATTGACGCAGACCAAAATGCAAAAATGAATTCCACGTTGATGCCTTGAAATAATCCGATACCTTATCTTCAATTCCTTCTACTTTGATAGTAATGCTTGGCTAGTGGTTGCTAGTTATCGATATAAAGCTGCCCGTTTTAGCAAGTGATCATCCTTATAACTCTGATGTATGCTATAAAAAACAGCAACTGAGAAACGAAACATAATGAAGTCAATAAGTGGAGACGGTTTTGGTTTTATGCGTCTATAGGTTCCAGAATTTTCACTAGCCATCTTAGATTAAAGTCCAAAAGATATAATGTATCACAGTATTGTGTCACTTAGATGGTGAGCAGTTCGTCGTAAAATACTTTTTGTTTAGTTCGGAACGTCTCACTCAACTTGATTATTCAGAGCGATACATTCACGGTGACCTAAACAGGTAACATCTATTAGCACAACCACTATTGCTGCAGACGTATCTTTAGTATGACGTTGGGAATGTTGAGAACTGCGAAGCATTTTATCTTTTGGTTAATGCTCTGATAACGTTTATTTCGTTGTTTTAATTATAGGGTCCCGAGGTCCCATGGGAATGTGTAAGTTTATGTATCACTTTGTTTTTATGATTTTTTTTTAGCTTCTGCATAGTTGTCATTTATCTTTTTTTTACAGTACAGTTCGTTTGCTTGGTTAATTTCTTTGGAGCTAATATAGGGGAAAGTCCGTCGGAAAATATCTAATCGTTCTTGTATTCCAAAGGAATATTAAGCCTTATTGTCGGCTTACATTCTAAATTTTTAGGTTCTAGTGAGGCATATGATAATCAAGGTAGTCTTTCGTTAGGTTTTATATATGTTACATGTGTTCTGTGCTACGCAATGCAAGTTATTAGTAAATCATGATCGCTTTGTAATTTGCATTGTTTTAGCTAACAGCTTTAGGTTTTGTACACAAAAACATGCTAATTGGTGGAAATTGAAAGATACGCGTTAATTGTTATTTCTGCAATATTAAAGACATTACACTATGAATAATTATGTTTTTTGAATCAGTTCCCGATAAAGTTCCTTTTATTAATTTTTTTATTTAATGTGTGAAACATGTCGGATTGTCAAATATCAACTGTGGTGTGATTGGTGCAAACATCTAGACTATATATAATAAAAATGATCATACATATAAGCTCGACATGAGTAAAGCGGGCAGCACATGGCTCATTTGCGATGACAGTCATCCGTCTACTTATATATGCAAGCTTTTTTCCAACTTTTTCAACAGTAATAGCACTTATCTTTTGTCCAACAAGAAAAATCCACTTTAGTGTAAATAATAAGCAAATATACCCAATGTAACATTTTCTCATGTTTGAAAATTTCCACTTCTAGGAAGCGGCAAGCAGTGTAGGTCGCAGCAGTTTCACTCGTGTTCTAGAAGAGATACCGGTTGTGATTCATAATTCACATCTCGTAAACATCCTTTTGACTGAAATCGTTGATAATCAAGAACTGTCGCGATCGGAGCTTTCTACAAATTCATCAATGCTAGATCTGGCCCCACCGCTTCCAAAAGACCATCCTGGTCGTTATTCTACTCTCAATTTAAGCATGGCCTCTAGTTTGGAACAACAACTACGTTCTCTTCTTGCGGGTTTAGAAACAGTACATGATTACCAGTATTCATATCAACGTAGTCTATCAAAATCTCAAACTACGGTAGCTGGCAAGGTAAATCAATAAAATTTATTACTTATTTAGTACTTTCATCAAATTATATAATTGTGAAATACTATAAGGGAAAGCGAATTGTTTGATCCTAAGTGGCTAATTTTTGGCAATTATTTAGCCTGTTGAATGGCTGGTCGCTCACGATAAATCGTTACTTAGTTACACATCAGTACTCTTAGTGATATAATTTTTGCTATGGTTGATGTTTGGAACTAAACAAAGCAAGCTTTGAATGCATTACAATTTCCAACATTAAGCCTGCTTTATTACTGATAATGAAGATATTCATCTTCATAGTACAATGGCTAGAAGGATAACAAAGTATGTGATCACAACATACCGTGAGCGACGCTTCATGTGGAAATCATCTATACTGTTCAGTAATTTAAACCAATATGCTAAGGCCAGCATTATTGCGATATGCTATGTATTCGATTTTAATGATCACAGTTATTCATCAACTTTACATCTGATGCCACCGATTTGCGAACATTATTTGGAATCATCCTCTTATTGTAGATGATTATTGTTCAATTATGTATTGTTCAGTCACCATTTTCCGTCCCTGTATTGTTTGTAGATTTTATTTGTATAATACTGCTTGTTTATGTTTGTTTTGATAATCTTCTCTTTTCGATAATGCAATAAGACGAAGATTATCAGAACCATGTAATATATTAACGCAATACATTTCGAACAATCTGGCTGATGACTTAATCGAAAACATGTCACTTTATAAGAGATATGTGGACGATATCTTAGTTTTTTGTGAAAGAAATAAGGATATGTACTGTTTATTGAACAAATTTAACACTCCAAAACCATATCAGTCTTATGTGAAGAGGAGAAGAACAACCAGCTTCCCTTCCTAGATATACATGTGAGCAGACGAGAAGATGGCTCAGTCAAACGGTCCATTTTTAGGGAACCAACGTGGACAGGTCAATACCTTAGTTATTATAGTTATTGCCCTGTGCAATAAAAACGTGGTTTGATAAGGTGCCTATTCAACAGGCTTGATCGTATTTGTACAAATGACGTCATTGATGATGGTATTAAGTTGTTAAATAAAACAGTGAAAAATGGTGGAGAAGATTTGTAGCTCAGGTGGATGATTTTGGTGGAGTTTTGTTCTCTGAGCTGGATGGTTTGGTCGTGGAGCTTTCATCGTTCTTCTGAACGACATCATCAGCACAACCTTCAGATAGAAGTGAAGTGTTTGAATTTCTCCATATGTGTCTCAAAGCTTGTTCTGTGCACCTCGACGTTGATTGGTTCTTATTGACCTTAAATTTGTCGTTGTTTACTTCTTTGTTTTGGTTGTGTCTCCCATTGTTTTGATTTTTGTTCTTATGTTTGTGCATGATTTTTCTGATTGGTTGATAAATTGGATTGATTTCAATATGCTTGTTGATTGCTGATTGACCTGAGTGCCAGGCTTCTAAAAATTCTCTGGTGTTTTTGGAGTTTCCTCTGTCTAAGATTTCCACATTTTTCCAGTCGAATGAGTGTCCGCAGTTGTCCACGTGTATTGAGATAAGTGAGGAGATATCATGCCGTTTGACTGCTAATTGATGTTCATGTAGGCGAAGGTGAAGGGGGCGTCCACTTTGTCCGATATAGTGTTTTTCGCAGTTGGCACAATTTATCTTGTAGATGATGTTTGATTTGTTTTCCTTTGTTATTTCATCTTTTGGTTTGCATAAGATTGATTGTAGTGATTTTGTCGGTTTGTGTGCCACACCTATTCCGAAGGTTTTCAGGAGTCTCGTCGCGGTTTCTGATATTCCTTGTATATATGGTAGGGTGATCCTTTTGTTGATCTTTGTGCTTGACTTGAGTTCTAATGCTGCGTGCGGTTGGTATTTTTTGATGAAGTTGATGGGGTAGCCGTTCTTCTGAAATACATCTTTTAGGTATTTCTCTTCATTTCTTCGTGCTGCCAGTGTGCTGCAGTGTGTCCTCGCCCTCTTGAACAAATTGTGTACGCAGTTGATTTTGTGAGCTCTGGGGTTGTTGCTATTGTAGTTGAGAATTTGATCCGTGTGGGTCGGTTTCCTATACACTTGAGTTTCCAGTTTTCCTGTGTCAGTTCTAGTGATCAATATATCCAAGAATGCTAGTTGGTTGTTTGACTCCTGTTCCATGGTGAACTTGATGTCATCGAAGACGTTGTTGATCAGGTTGTAAGTGTTTTCTAGTTCATTATTTTTGACGATGACGAAGGTGTCGTCTACGTAGCGAATCCAAATTTTTGGTTTGATCACTGGTAATATAGCGGCTTCTAGTCTTTGCATCACTGCCTCTGCGATCAATCCTGATATTGGTGATCCCATTGGTGTCCCTTTCGTTTGTTCGTAGATTTTGTTGTTGAATTGAAAGTATGTCGTTAGGCATAAATTGATGAGTTCCTGTAGACTTTGAATTTGAGGTGCACAGAACAAGCTTTGAGACACATATGGAGAAATTCAAACACTTCACTTCTATCTGAAGGTTGTGCTGATGATGTCGTTCAGAAGAACGATGAAAGCTCCACGACCAAACCATCCAGCTCAGAGAACAAAACTCCACCAAAAACAATGAAAGATGGCTATCCTCTGAGATTCATAAATAGATAGAAAATCCGTGGTACAGTGAGACTTACTGTAGCCTTGGTAGAAAATAAGCCTGTCTACATCATCTTACCATCCAGAGATGATTCAAATAGCCTTTTATTGAAACAAAGGCTTAAATCACTCATTAACAAAACGTATTGCGCAGCAAAGATCATTATCAAAGAAAGAACAAGGCTCATGCTTCATCCAATACCTGAAAGACACGGAAACGATTGTGTTATCCCACAGTGTTTACCACTTTAAATGTGTGTGGTCACACATACATAGGGAGGAGCAATCGTGATCTCAAAATTGGGGTGGGTGAACATGTACCAAAATGGTTGCAGTAACAAACAGAATCAAGTGACCCAATAAAAGCAGAGGATAAACATCCATCATCATCTATCGCTAAACATATAATCGAAACAGGCCATAAGATTGATCTTAACATGGCCTTTGTGGTGTTATACAAAAGTGTAAAAGGGCGTATACTAAGGCTTATTGAAGCCTTTGTGTATTCAGAAACAGTTTATTCTCACTTCAAACCTACCCTGGAAATATTGGCTTATTATCCAGAGTGATTAGGTTTCAAATTGTGTTCACATTATTACTATTATTATTATTATTATTATTATTATTATTATTATTATTATTATTATTATTATTATTATTATTATTATTATTATTATTATTATTATTATTATTATTATTATTATTATTATTATTATTATTATCCTTGTCTCCTCGTACCCCATTTCCAGTGTAGTTGACCTTTTATTTTTATATATAAATGTTCTTAACAAGTATATGTGTGATCAGATTGTTCGAAATGTATTGCGTTAATATATCACATAGTTCTGATAATCTTCGTCTTATTAGATTATCGAAATTTATCAAAGGGACTAGTTGCTTTAAAAATTTCCTCTTTGTTTTGCACAAGACTGCAACTGAAACACGTAATCGGGAGTTGGCTCCAATCCGTCTGGACACTGCGTTGGTTTCAGCTCAGCTTGATTTCTACTGCAACAGTCTTGCTCAGATGGCAGGTCAAACAATAGGCAAATTGATGTTAACACAAGCTGTACAAAAAACAAGTTCATCCGGAGCTCCTAAATCTCAAAAAATTTAAACGATGTAAAGATCTAAATAACTTGTATAACATAATAAACAAAATGGTGTATGTTAATATTTGTTTCAATCTGTATAATTATTCCTCCTGTGATCTTGGTTAAAAGCCTTGCCATTTATTTCGTTGATAGTTTTATGAGTTCGTTTCTAAATAATCGGTCATGGTAACACGAGTATTTCTTAAAAAGAGCGCCTCATTTTCATCCAACCAAAAAAGTAATTCGTTAAAATATGTTTCGAAATAAGGGTTCTTCTAGTCAGTCTAGTACTGCATATCTCAACAATCCCACAATTTAAGGGTTTGACTTGTTTAACATAAATATTACTAACAATCTAAATCATTAGGGCCTAGTTTTGTACTGTTTGTTAACATATCAAGGTTCATTCCAATACTTTTTCTTAATACCCATTGCTTAGATTATCATTCTCATACAGGTCTAACGTTGTACATCGTTCGTATTCCTATCTTAGTGTCGTCAAACTATTTTTCAGTGCGTAAGTCTATATTTCAATAAAGTAATTATTACAATTCAGGCATTATAAGTGCCGATTTGACAAGAAATTGTTTTAATTCCCCACCATGGTTCTACACATAAGCTTTATCCATGCATTATAAAATAAGTACCAATCAAACGATGAATCAATTAACACGATATTTTATCTATAGAAATAGTAGTGGAGTAATCTTAAGATGGATATAAATACAAATTCATTAGTGATTGTGTAATTATGGAAATTAAAAATGTGAGTCGTATCTGTTTGGTATTGGATGGCTGTTCCTCACTTAACTTTAAAGGGTGGTATTCGAGGTACAGTGAACTTGCCTAATTGTCCGTACAATACAACTAACCACGAAGCCGTTGAGCTGTTAAATGCACAGGCAGCGGGACTCCACAATTTGTCTTTATTCCATATGTTGGTTGTTGGTCGAAGTGAATAGCGTAAACTTTATATATTGAATTCTCTTTAAAGCGTTTCTTAGACATTAATAGGTGTACTAACTCTGTATGATACACTCTAATTCCATACCTTATTTTGTTCATATAAGCTAAATTTTCAGGTATACTTTACCATGTTAATGCTTAATAGAAGTGACCTGTATTGAATCATTAAAGTTTCTTCCTCAATATTGTGAACGGTGATAAATTTTTTGTTCCTTCTTCCTTAAGTTAGTAAATGCAAACTTGATATACACCCTTATTGTTCCTAGAATTTAAGAGTAATCTAGACTTATCTCTCGAACCTCAGACCTACATAGTCTATCATTTTAGACAATGACTTATATAGGTTGCGAAGACTTTTAACATAGACTACGATACATTATAATACCGATTGATTTGATTAAGCCGTCGTATTTCCGTAGTCTTGTACTACGGATCAGTATTGAAATATATCGAGAGTTGTTGTCCCTCATTAAATCATAGAAGAAATTAAAAGGCGAAAAATGTTTTCAAATGAATGTACATCTTGAAACTGAAAAATAATTGTCATAAATAAAATAATCAGAATCATAAAGTCCTAGATAGTAATGTTTATTGTTTTTTTTGGCTAATAGAATAAACTGTGAAAATACGATTATCTCAGCTTCAAACAAACATTAGGTCCCCATCTGGATCATAGATTGGTTTATATTTATTGTAAAGATTTCGAAGTTCTTCTAGGTATAATTCTTTCAGCACTGATATTTGTTCTCTTGTTGGATTTGGGTTTTTTTCACACGGTATTGGTCGTCCAACTTTTTTATTTCGGTAGAAAAAAAGACATTTAGAAAATCGGAATTACTATTTTTGTAGTTAAGAGAGAAGAACCTAAACAATAATTTTGATTACCTTAGTTTATAGACTGTATTTGTACCATAAGTGGATTTTAACGTCTTCTGGGTTACTAATCTGTTGTTCTATTGAAGACTAGTAGTTTTACAATCTATCAGATTGCTAACGGAATTCCAGTTTTTTACATTCCAGTGAATGTACTTTACATGGTTTTCTTGTTAACGGTTAAGGTACATTGGCAAAATCTGACTGTACAGATAATAATTAAGTGCGTTTTAGATACTTGACTTTCTACAACAAACAGTAGCCATTATACCAGCTAGACAGTAGTTTACCTTCTAGTTTCGTATTATTGGAAATATATGAGAATTCTGAGTGTAATTTCGAGACTCAAATTAAATTGTAAGATAGCCAACCAATCATTTTGGAAGCTTGTGGTCTGAAGTGAAAAAGACATGTGAATTGTGATAAGTATCGCTGGCTCTTGTTTCCAGTCCTTAATCAGATCTTAGCGACTTTGAAATGACAGTGTTTAGAGACTGGAAAACGGGTTGTGTTAGCATTTGCAGCTGTCCTATTTTAGAACGTCCAATTAAACCATTGGGCACATCTGTTGGTGTAATTTTCACTGTATTGAGATTATCCTCATTAAGCTACCTGGTTGTTCAATTTATCTGAGATAATTAGAATAGATTACTAATGGTATTAAGTAAAATTTATTGTGACCACTGTATTCTATTGTTTCATGACGTCGTAAATATTTTAAATGATATATTTGTTCAACTTACTGACTGTGTTTACATCTGTCCGATAAGGCAGAAAAAATCGAGCATAAAAGAAAGGAGGTGAGAATGTTGCCATTTTCGTAAATCGATTTTGGAAGTGTCTTATGCAACTCCCTTCAGGATTGTACACTTGTTTAAACATATTCGGTTCACCAAACGATACACACGGTACCAAGTGCGACCTAAACCAAACCATAAGAATAAGACATTTAATTAGTTAACAAACAGTTTGGGGCTTTCAGAATAGGAAAATAATTAGCAGGTCTTTCCATTAATTGAACTTTAATTGTCTCCAATATCCTTTTACGTTAATCCTTAGTCAGTCACTCAGCTACAACGTAGGACCAGGCACATATATGCATCGGTCCAAGTTGCCATACATCATTAGCACAATAAGATGAACATAAAATTCATAAAAGTAGTCACTTCAGTGGTAGTAATGTATAAAAGAATGCGTATAAGGTTATAATGCAGGAAGAAAGAATTAGTTCGTAGAAAGAAATATATAAACCGATTCTTATCTCACGGTTTAAGGGAGGACGAAAAGAGTACACACCGACGCCATTGTGATCGATTATGAGCCATGTCACCAAGAGTCTCCAACCATTGGTTACGGTAGCCACGAGGACCCCAACTAAGTAGTCTGCGTCTACCAACATAGCTCAGATTAGAAGTTAATGACTTCAAGGACTGATGCCTTGTTTTGGTTTGGCCACCCCTAACTTTTTTCAAACCATCCCAACATCAGTTAGTATTGTGCGTCGTGGTAATCGGTGTTCAGGTATACGCAACACGTAGCCTAACCATCTCAGTCGATGAAGATTCACAACCTCATCAACTGATTTACCATCATTCCCTAATACCCTGCGTCCAACCTCACTATTACTTACCCGGTGATCCCAGCAGCTGCTGGCAATATTTCTAAGATATATGTGATCAATTACTAGCAACTTATGAGTATCTTCTACTCTTAATGGCCATGTTTCGCAGCCATAAATTAGAGCAGAAACAAACTGCTGTGCTGTCCCTTAATTGATAGACGGATATCTCGCCTTCGCCATAGGTGACATAAGTTGGCAGCTAGAGTCGAGGGATCTAATTCAATGTTCCGTTCAGGTTGTTTGGGAATGTTGAGTAGTTGTATAGTAGCTGAAGGCTAACTGAACTGTTCCTTAAAGTGTTCCACCCATCGTTCTAAGCGTCTGGGCTGAGAGCAGATAAGGTTGCCGTCTTTTTCTGAGACTGTTTCACTTACACTTGACTTCTTAATTCCATTTTTTATTAGTCTGAGAAACTGTCTGGTATTACCTACAGCCGTTGCCTTTTCCATCTCTTTTGCTTCAGTTACATTAGTCCTAGTGAAACTAGTGGCTGTTTTGCATCAAAGTCTAATTGAAAGTGTTTCGAAAATCATTTCCCTTTTGACTTATTACTCGATCACTGATGTCAAGTCTTATCCCTTATAGTAAGTGGATTCCGTCAGTCAAGTTACACTAAACTAAGTGACTCTTTTGATACATTTTGATGTTAGTAGGTATAAGTTGTTTGCTTTTTCTTATGGAAATATACTGTCCTTATTCACTGAACTGTTATTTCACCTGAATCAGAAAATACTACTGGATTGACTAATTTTCATTTTGCCCAATTTTAAAGCTCTCGTAAATACTACAATTATGTTATAACCCATATCCTTCTAGATCCTCAAGTAACATATTTGAATTACGTTCAATATCGGCAATTTGTAAATTTAAGAAAATGATTCGATATTATTCTTACCCAGTCATTAATGCTAACTTAAAAAAGCCATATCGTCGGTTAGTGTGGAATACATATTTCCCAGGACGTGAATCTAATGCTTCAGGAGCACCACCCAAAACGACGACAACGAAATTTCCTGTATTTCCACATTGTTGAGAATCAAGGAGATATGAAAGTCCTTTGTATGTTGCTGCTACAAGATCTGAATAATTAAAAAACAAATCTGTCAGTATATTGGTTTATTTAACTAAATAACATCCATCATGGGGAAATTCAGTACAAAATAAAGTCCACTTTGAAGTCTTGGCAACTAGGGAAATGAAAGAGATAAATAAACCATTTAACTTTATCTGATATAACTCTCGACCGTAGAACAAAAGATGAATGATATTTTATTTGAACTTTCTTCGGATTCCTGTGGTTCAACTCTTGAATAAATAAAGGTAACGAAGGACATTTAATCTACATTCATTTCACAGTAATGACCAATTCCTTCGGCCAAATTACGGTGATTAAGTTTTACTACTTAATAATTGAAGGTAGTATCCTAAATCTGAAAACAGTTATTGGGTTTTTATGTTCTCAAGCAGGGAAATTACTTATTGTAAGCGATAATATCTAAGTTTAGCGAATGCTTTCGTATGATTCTCAAAGCGCGTTCTATGTATGGATATTGTACTGATGTT